ACCGACCACCCCCAACCCCCCCGCCCCCACGCTCTCCGCTCCCTCGCCTCTAAACATGTCTCCGCTGCCCGCCTTCCTCACTCCCATCCCCCTCCCTCTCTCCCTGTATCACCGCCCGCACACCACCCCAACCCGGCTGCCGCGCATGACCGTCACCCAACGCACGCCCCCCACCCCGTCAAACTACCCCGACCCGCCCGCCACGGATCCGCCCACCACAGACTCATCCACCACAGATACCGTCCCGGTCTACTGCTACGTAGCGTGCTCCCCCACGCGCTCCGACTACCTGGAGCGCGTCCTCACCTCGTGCGTGTACGACGTCGTCACGGAGACCCCCCTGCACCGCGCGCGCCTGCTCTCGGACCGCCTCCGCAACACGCTGCACCTGAAGCGGGAGGACACCACGGCCGTTAACTCGTTCAAAGTCCGCGGCGCGTACAACATGATGGCGCGCGCGGATCCTGCGCTGCTGCGCAACGGCGTGGTCGCCGCGTCGGCAGGCAACCACGCCCAGGGCGTGGCACTGGCCGCGCAGGAGCTGCACGTGGATGCCACCATCGTCATGCCGGCCGTCACGCCGGATATCAAGGTCCAGGCCGTGCGCCGCCGCGGCGCGCGCGCCATCCTCCACGGCGACAACTTCGATCAGGCCAAGACCCGCGCGCTGCACCTCGCGGCTGAGGGCTCCAAGCTCTTCGTCCCGCCGTTCGACCACCCGGACGTCATCGCGGGCCAGGGCACCGTCGGCCTGGAGCTCATCCGCCAGATCGCCCACGTGGACGTTGTCTTTGTACCTGTCGGCGGCGGCGGACTGATCGCCGGCATAGCTACGGTGCTCAAGCGCCTGCGTCCGCACGTCAAAATCGTCGGCGTCGAGCCGGAGGACGCCAACGCCATGTACGAGAGCTTGCGGAAGGGCGAGCGCGTCAAGTTGGACACCGTGGGCACGTTTGCGGACGGCGTCGCCGTCATTGAGGTCGGTGTCGAGACGTTTCGCCTATGCCGCGACCTCGTCGATGAGGTCGTGCTGGTGAGCACGGACGAGATCTGCGCCGCCATCAAGGACGTGTTTGAGGACACGCGGTCCATCCTGGAGCCGGCGGGCGCACTAGCAGTGGCGGGCGCCAAGAAGTGGGTCGCGCGGGAGCGCGTCACGGACAAGCAGCTGGTGGCGGTGACGTCAGGGGCGAACACTAACTTCGACCGCCTGCGCCACGTGAGCGAGCGCGCGGAGATCGGCGAAGGGCGCGAGGGCGTCTTCGCAGTGACCATCCCGGAGAAGCCCGGGGCGTTCCGCGCGCTGATCTCGGCGCTCGGGCCCGAGCAGAGCATCACCGAGTTCAACTACCGGTACCGCAGCAACGCCGAGGCGCACGTGTTCGTGGGGATGAAGGTGGCGTCGCGCAATGACGTCGCATCCATCATCACAAGGCTCAACGAGAGGGCGATGACGGCGATCGACCTCACGGACGACGAGATGGCCAAGCTGCACATTCGGCATCTCGTGGGCGGGCATGTGGCGTCGGGCGATATCGAGGAAGCCGTGTTCCGGTTTGAGTTCCCCGAACGGCCGGGCGCTTTGCTGCGGTTCTTGCGCAAGCTGCCGGATGAGTTCAACATCACTATGTTCCATTACCGCAACCACGGGGCGGATGTGGGGCGTGTGCTGGTCGGGTTTTCCAGCGTGAGGAAGGGGGAGGAGTGGAAGAAGGCACTGGAAGAATTTGTCGAGGGGCTGGGGTACCAGTGCGTGAGGGAGGACGAGAACATCGCGTACAAGTTGTTCCTGGGGAAGCGGTCGTGACGGGGCTGTGCGCCAGGCAAGCAGGCAAGTAGGCGATAGCGAGCAGAGATAAGGAGGAGGAGGAAGAGGAGACGGTGCGAGAGTAGTGTTACGTTTAAAAGTCGGTATAGAGTCGGTGGCAGGGATATAGAAGGGCTAAGGGTGGAGGGGACCGATGGGGATGTCTTGAGACGTTCTCTTTGCTCCAGCTGCCTGCTGACCTGGACACCGACTTGTTTCCGTCCGATCCCATCAGTCTCCTCGCCCAAATTTTACTGGACGCGTGTCCTATCCCCTCCTCCCATCACGCTATCACAGGCGCCCCCCCTCAAGAGCGAGGATGTCGTCTAACGCGTCAAAACTGTCCTCGTCCTCCACACAGGAAGGTCAGATTTATGAATAATTTAATAAAAGCAATGATGTTGCTATTTTTGGGGGCAAAAAATGCTGGATTTTTGCGAGCAATGAACGGTGGTCATTGGTTCGCGGGCAGTCATGTTTTGCCAGCTTCTTTTGGCTGTTTCCCATTCAGCACAGGGATGAGGGGGGGTTTCTGGTTCCGGCCA